ACTTACCGATAAATATGGTAATTATGAGCACTATTTTATAATCACAAACAATATTACGAAATAGTTTAAACATATCTATGCACTAAATAGAGTTACCAAAACTTTTTTTTATATTTTAGTTTGATTTATATCAAAACAAAAAATTATATCAGTTAAAAAAATTAACAATTTCTCAATTTTATAATATTTAATTTAAAATAAAGTACTTTTTGCATAATATTTGAAATAGTTTCTACAATTTATATTAAATTTATTTACTTTTTGTTAAAAACCACTTGAATTCCAGTGGATAAAGAGGTTGTCTCCTATTTTGGACAAACAAGTGCTGCAAGTAATCAATAATTATTGACTTTTCTAGCATTTTGTTAGCAAAAATATGTATATTTTATACGTATATATACTGTATTTATAATATTTATATTTTTTCAAATATACTATTTATAGCAAAAAATATCCGAAAATATAATAAATGTTAATTTTTTATTACTAACGATTGTAAGGGTATACTAATTTTATTTTCAATGAAATATTAATGTAATATTTACACACATTATATGCGAGACAACAAAAACATTATGATAATTTATTTTTAAAAAGTAATTTTAATAAAAATCATAAACATAATAAACCTAATAAACGTATTAATTCTTATATATTATCTTAAAAAAATATAATAATATTTTATGGAAAAATACGTTAAAAATATTTTTATTTGTTTAACCTTCAAATATTTTAATGTCCAATATTTACGCTAGTTAGTTTGATAGTGACATTTTTGCACTTACTATACTTACTACAAGTATAATATATAATTTATGCATGATGCTTTTTGCATTTGTATTTTTGCACTAAATAAATTATTATTTTTGTTAACTATAAACTTTTAAATTATTTTTTGTAGGCCTAGTTTCTTTAATTAACTGTTTATTTAATTGGTAATAAATTATTTTTAAAATAACATTATCAAATAGATAATCATGATTTCAATTTATCAACTTTTATTTTCTATGTTTACCAACATTAAATTATATTTATCTTAAAATAAACAAAACAACAATTTTTATAATCGATTAAACCTGTTTTAGTTAACATTGACCTGATACTTTTAATTATAATTTGCTTAAACTATAATAAATGCTTTTAAATAAATAATAACCAAATTATTAATGCAAAATTAATTTAATCCAAATAAAAATTTTATAACTTTTATTTTTTTTATTATATAAATTGTAATTGATTTGTCAGTAATTGTACATGTTTTATTATGTTCAGACTAAAATGTGATTGATTACTTTTAACAATTAAATATGGTAACTACTTTTCATCTCAATGTACTTCAAGTTTGTTTGTTGTTTGAAAAACTTGTTTAATAAAATTCAAAAATTTCAATGTGACATAAATCATGAATTTTTCATTGCCAATTGTTTTATGATTTAAAATAAAAATTATTTGTAAAGTTTATTATCACTAAATATTTTTTGCACAATTGTTATGTTATATAATTTTATATTTAGAAATATGTTTCGACTAGGTAATTGTGATAATTTAATAATTGGAAAAATTTTATTTAATGTATTGCTAATAACACAGTTGGGTAAGTGTTTGACAATTATTTGTTATTAATTATATTTGTTATAATTTAATATAAAATTGGTTAAAATATATTTATTATATTAATAATATTAATAAAATATTATCGGTTTTTGTTGACCACACGTTTTCTATTAATATACAATTAACATTATTTATTTATGTTTTATTAATTCCTTACAGTTTATATACACTTAATACTATAAATATAATTAATTTGGTAATAGTACATAAATACTTTATAATTTTTAGTATAATCAAGAATTTTTATTTTGTGCTATATTTCTTTATAAAATTATCTCTCTCTCTCTCTCTCTCTCTCTCTCTCTCTCTAATTAAATAAATAAATAACTTATTAATTTATAAATAAAAATGACTTGTAATTTTCGATTCCATAAATTATGTTCAATAGATAACAATAATAACAATATGGTAAATATAATAATCTATTACAGTGTGTACAGCAAACGGCGCCGCAAACAACGCCAACAATATATACAGCGATGCAATTGAAGTGAAATGTAACCGGCGCTCAAACGACCGCATTGAGCGCATGCTGCCCACCATTTTTCCGCCGGGCACTGACCAACCGGTGCCCGAAACACTCCCGGAGCTACGAGCTTATTGCAATTTATACGGCAAAAATTTTCCATTCATACTGGGTTACTTTAAAAATTGCGTAGGGCCCTTTTCGCGAGCCGTGGCTAAAGTGATCATGTTCTCGGTGCGCAAACAGCAAGATCTCGCCTGTAGGCCAGGCAAACCCAGTCGACAGGCCCGCGAGCTTATGGCCGCCGGCGGGTGCGCTAATAAGGCCCGGGAGGGGATACGGGTGTGTAATAAGCAATTGGTTGACGCACTTCTCGGCACCAAATTGGCACCGATTAAAAGTCGCATACCTATGACTTGCTGGTTAGTAGATATATTTTAATCATTGTAAATTATGTTTAAATTTATTGTGTTAAGCAGTGACTTTAATAAAGATTTTTAATTAGGTTAAATGTATTTTATAAAATAAAATTATTTAGTGGCAATTAATTACAACAGTGTTGTAATACACAATAATATTGGCCATTGTAAATAATTGTAATTAGGAATTATTTACAGTTAATTTAACACCATGCTTATTGATACACAATAACTTGATAAAATTACAGCAAATAAACTTGATACAAACAAATATAGCATTCCAAGTAGTCTTTGTCCTAATAACTCAAGTCTACCATATTTAATAAAATTATTAACCCTATTCTGTACACATAATCCATAGCCACTCAAACGCTTACCGGATGTGTTTGCGGGACACCACCGAAGACACGGTCGGCTGTACCGCACATACCGTCGATTGGGCCGAAAAGTTTGTGCTAAAAATCATGGGCTCATCAATAAGTCTGGTTTGCGGCGAGTATTTCGAAGAGTCCGACAAATGCCATAAACTCATGGCTCAAACGCCGGCCCCACCCGACACACCCCGCAACTCGACCAGGACGAAAAATTTTATTTTGCCCATGCTAGATTTGATGGAAACTTTTCCCGAACTTTAATTTCTATTGATTATGCTAATTAAATTATTTTGTAACAATTCAAAGTGTGTTTACTATGATTGTTTTGTTTGGAAGAATTCTACTATTTTGTAATTCATTTATAGCAGGTTTTTCATAAATGATATTTTTTATTTATCTATTCTTAAATATATGTAAAATAAATTTTTAAGTGAGTACAGTATAAGATCATTATAATTATAAATGTTATAATTATTATTATAATTGTTAATTTTATACAATTTTCAAAACTCATATTTATAATATATGCAATTATAATAAATAATTATTCAAAATATAATATATATTTGCATAATATATTATATATAATATTATATTGTAGATTATCATACTTAATTCTATTTATGCCAAACTATAAAGTAATTTAAAACAAGTTTCGTAATATGCATTAAATAATTTCTTCTATGATGTTTAGTTATTATAAACAAAATGATAGTATGGCTTATTAGATATTATCACGTATTAATTATAAAGGTTAAACATAAATTTAATCAAATAATTACATTAATTAAACTTACATTAATTACTCTTTCATTAATACCATAGATAAATAAACAATTAAAAATTAATCTAAAGCTGGATTTTGTGTCACTCGTTCTTTCTGTGTATATAATGAAATAAATAATTGCTGTACCACGATCATTAGTAAAACAATTTATAAAATATAGAATGTTAACAATAACATAGTAATAAACATAATAAAGTATGTAATTATCATTATTATTAATAATTACATATATATATTACAAAAATTAAACAAAGTATATAATAATAAGCTATTACAGTAGTGTTAGTCCATTAATACCACAATAATATTTATGTGGTAAAAGCAATTTAAATTATTTGCATTTTATATTAAAAATTAAAAACATATTCCGTCTAGTTAAAAATAATGTGTTTTAATATTAAATAATATAAAGTTAGTTTGTTGTACGTTATAAGTTGCCTTACAAGTTGCTTCGTTATACTACCTGATTTTTTTAGATCCACTGTGTATTAATATTGGCCGTACTTAAAATATATGAATTCATTAATCAAAAGTACCATGTTTGATTTGTCAAAACCTATACCCCGGGAATTGCGGGTAAACGATGCGGACAGTCATTTCTACCGAATTGGTTTATCTCTGTTTAACACGCAGTATATAATTAAACGGCATATAATTAACCATCCGTTGCTTATACTCACAGTGTTAAGTACGATGGTAATAAAATGTAGTATCGGAATCTACTGGTTCATATACGATGTAGATCAACCTGCCATAGTACACCTGTACCTTGGTGATATGGATTATTTTGTGAAAACTGGCTGCACATCAAACGCCGAGTATATCGGTATCTGTATGTATTCAATAGCATTGCAAACAATACATTACTTTAACTATAAATATGGTATAAAATCAACGGATTTGAAAGTATTTCACATGATTTCCGGTTTCATTTCACCCAAAAGTCTCGGTATAAACGAAACGGAAATTGTTTACAAATTAGTAACAATTACTAGAAAGTTGTTAAAAGTTTCAAAAATACTTGTAATTTATGCGTCCATTATGTCGACACTATATGCATCGTTGAGTTTTTATCAGATAGATAATTTGCAATATTTTATTTTAATTGGCTTGCCCAGTGTCGGTCATAATTTATTATGGGCAATATATATCGTAAACATGTTGATTTACCCAACGGTTTACTACTATATAGTCGGATATTATTTTAAGGTTAAAATTAAGTTTATTAACACTCAAATAAAGTCTAGGTTAAGTGATCTAGGTAATTTTAAAACCTATTGGTTTATAACCAAAACATTGCGTGAATTGGACTCAATCTATGGGGAGATTAATGAATATAATCGTAATATATATTCAAAATATTTATGTGCCGTGTGGCTAGCGTTTAGCCCATTAATAGCCAATTTAATACATTTAACTGTACATGCTGAATATATGAGCTATATAATGTTGATAGCGCTTTGTAGCATGATCATGTTTTTGTGTTTTCTATTGTTTATTATTAACATTTCGGCCGTTATTTATACGCAAACGGAACGGACGTATAAATTATTGAATTCATTAATGACTCGCAACAAGAATATGTCAATAAATGCAAAGATTAAGGTAATCTCTCTCTCTCTCTCTCT